TTTGGAAACTATCAAACTAATATATATAATTATCAAACACTAACATCACAATGATTTATACTGTAATAAAATAGAAAATTAAATCAAAATTAATTAAAAACCTTAAGATATTAAAATCACACATGGAATTAAAAAATAGTGAAATAGTGCAATTATAAAGATTATAGATACAAATCCTTCAGTTGTTAATCCCATATATTTTATACTATACCATATGTTGGGCCCTCTCTCTTTCACATCTGCATCAGGACTTTTCTAAACGGAAATGAAACTGAAATCAAACTGAAAATGATGGTATTTTAAAGGTCCTCTTTTGCTGCTCACACCATGTACAGTAGATGCTAATGCTCTGAGACAGTGCTGCAGGCGATTGATCCTCAGTCACGGCTATTTTTGGAAGTCATGTGTTTCTCTTATAAAAGGCCAAAATAGTCAAAGCATATCATAATTATTGACTTTTATTTAACCAGGAAAGTCCCACAGAGATGTCATAATGTGGCTTCAGAAACAGGGGATGAGAGTAGGATGGGGGAGGGTGTGAAGAGCGACTATTGGGCATGGTGGGAAAGCACCTGGAGCACCTGGAGGAAACCTGAACAGAGACAGGCAGAACATTCAAACTCCACAAAGACAGGCTCCATCCGGTGGTGGAACTGAACCAATAACCAGATTTATACATTCAGGATCATTACTTGCTTTTACTTTTGAATGCGCTGGAAAACGGCAGCAAGTCCTCAGTCGCTCTGAAAAAGTTGTTGTTTTCTGCTTTAAATCTTTTACTTTCCTTGCTTTTCTCTGCCTGAGATGTTGCTGCAGTGCACTTGTTCATGGTTTTGCACTGGTCCAGACCGGAGCAGAGAGGATTCATGGTCCAAAACAAGTGGATCAGGCAAAAATCCACCGGGGGAATGCTAACTTTTCAAAAATGCTAACAAAGCATTCAGAATTTTACTTTAGACTAGAGCAGAGAAAATGTTCCGAAACACCTCTGCTGTTGCCAATACTATTGTAAGCTACTTTTTAGCATTATCTATTTTTTTGTGTTTTGATTGTATGGATGAATGTGTATCCGCTGAAACACACACTTTATTGATCCTTGTATTGATCCATGTGTGAGACCATTGGGTGTCCAGCAGCAGCAAAAACACATCCATCCAAACAAACATATGCAGTGCCTCTCTAAAGTATTGATACAGCGTGAACCTCTGCAAAATTTTTCAAGTTTAAAACCGCTCTGGAGACCACATCACCCCCGTCCTCAAACAACTCCACTGGCTCCCTGTTTCATACCGCATCCAATACAAGGTCCTCCTCCTCACCTACAAGTCCCTTCTTACCTCACTGACCTCCTCCATCGTCACGGTCCAACCCGCCGCCTCAGACTCCAACCTCCTCACTAAACACCTCAGGACCAAACACTGAACCTTGGGGGACCGAGCCTTTGCTGCAGCCGCCCCCACTCTCTGGAACTCACTCCCTCAACGCATCAGAAACTCACTACGGAAACTTTAAATCTCTTCTCAAAACCCACCTGTTTCAGATTGCCTTTCATTCATTTTGTTTCTCCATGTTTATTTTTATGTGTTTTGTAAAGAGTCTTTGAGTTTCCAAAAATAGGGCAAAGATTTTAATGTATTGCTTTTAACTGAGAGCTCACACACAAGTAATAGACACATTTGAAGTTAAAACAGAAGCTGTATTAATACTTTAGAAAGGCAATAAGTACTTAAACTTTCAAACTAACGATTGAGAATTAATGAAGAAAAAAGTTGTTACTTGTTATTTGCACAACTATGCATTTTCAGGAGAAGTATAAAAAGAACCTAACCTAACAACAGTGCACTTATAAATACGGTATTTATAAGTGCACTGTTGGCAAAGCTCTCGATTTACCGGTCAATCTTCGTTCCCTCCCTCACCTATGGTCATGAGCTTTGGGTAAGGACCGAAAGAACAAGATTGCGGATACAAGCGGTCGAAATGAGCTTCCTCCGCAGAGTGGGGGGCGCTCTCTTAGAGATAGGGTGAGGAGCTCAGTCACAGGGAGGAGCTCGGAGTAGAGCCGCTGCTACTCCACGTCGAGAAGAACCAGTTGAGGTGGCTCGGGCATCTGTTCCGGATGCCTCCTGGACGCCTCCCTGAGGAGACCCCGGGGAAGACCCAGGACATGCTGGAGGAACTATGTCTCTCAGCTGGCCTGGGAACGCCTTGGGGAAGTCCGGGCATTTCTGCTTGGACTGTGCTGCCCCCGCGACCCGGCAACGGATGAAGCAGAAGAAAATGAATGGATGGATGGATGGATATTTATATGTACTTTAAGATATGGCGTGATTGAATATTGTATTTCTCCAACCTCTCTCTGTGAAGTGAACTCAAATGCACCTCTGCAGTCTGTAAAAAATAAAAAATAAAAAAACAAGATCTTAAATGCATTCTTTGTTGAGCTGATAAAAAAAACACTCTTTTTAGATGCGGTGGAATAATAAAAAAAAAACATTACGGATCCAAACATCTTCCAAGGCCGAGTTAAAGCCTGAATAAATCACGGCGGACAGAGAGAACAAACGGTGCGCGGTCTATTAGTAATGTTGTTTTTGTCAGCAGCATCAATTTTGAGCAAAGAGCAATGTCTTAAAGTTGTCCACGATGCTTTTGTGCACTCAGTCAGCTTGACATCCCCCCTCCTCGACAAAACACAAAGCCTCCACTACTGCTGGAAACGCATGGCTGGGTTCCCACTGCTGCAGGGCGTTCGCTAGCTTTGCAAATTCACTTTTCAGACCGACCACCTAAGGATTTCTGCACTTGTTCTTCACCCGAAATTCTAAAGTTATGGATCCCACCCCGCTTCCTGCTTCCTGCTTTAGTGCCGCCGAGACGCAGGAAAAAAGGTAGTTTGTACGTTTGGGGAAAAAAAATGGTTTACGTTGATCAAAAGTCTATCCCGGTTTTGTCCCTTTTGGACCTCCTCCATCGTCACGGTCCAACCCGCCGCCTCAGACTCCAACCTCCTCACTAAACACCTCAGGACCAAACACCGAACCTTGGGGGACCGAGCCTTCGCTGCAGCTGCCCCCACTCTCTGGAACTCACTCCCTCAACGCATCAGAAACTCACTACGGAACTTTAAATCTCTTCTCAAAACCCACCTGTTTCAGATTGCCTTTCATTAATTTTGTTTCTCCATGTTTATTTTTATGTGTTTTGTAAAGAGTCTTTGAGTGTCCAAAAATAGCGCAAAGATTTTAATTAGCTTCCCGCTTCCTGCTTTAGTGCCACCGAGACGCAGGAAAAAAGGTAGTTTGTACATTTGGGGGAAAAAAATGGTTTACGTTGATCAAAAGTCCATCCCGGTTTTGTCCCTCCAGCCATAGCTACTCTCGACAGTCTGTAATGTTGTCCTTGCTCCTGTGTTTTATGTGTAGTATTGTGTGTTGTCTTGTAATGTTGTGGTTTTCTTGTTCTGTGTTCTATGTTTGTGATATAGAAGACAGAAGAAAGGATAATAAAGGTCTATCGCTCTCTAAAATAATACTGTAGATAATAGTACAGTGCCCCATGGTCAGTAATACACATTCTTTTAAAAACTAAATTAAATGTAAGTACCATTAAAGCAGCAATATGTAAGATTTTCATGTCAAGTTGTCATTAAAGGGCCCTAATCTGTCAAAGGCCTCCTGTACTGGCCCCGCTCCCATCTCTGTGTGGAGAGAGAGAAAAAATGCCCAAAAATAACAATTGTAAACCGCTTTGTGACTCTGGTCTGCAGTGAAAAGACGGTATATAAACAAAGATTACTTACTTACTTATTGTTTTCATTTCGATGTCCCGCCCTCCATCGTTTCACCAATCAGAAAGTCTGTGATCAAGGTTGCCAGAACTCACCGCGTCAAACTAATCTCACTGCTAAAGTACCATGTGGCGCAGGACTAAAAAAGGTCTTGTTATGATTCTCAAATTGTTAATGTCAAAACAAGGAATAAAGCCAGTATTTCTATCTCTGTGAAATAGGTTAGATTTTAGATTTGTTGTTGACAAAACTCTTGTCTATTCAGCTGTTATGGTCCCAGCTGGATTCGTCTGCATATCTGGCAACCTGAGTCAGGGAGAGTGCAGTGCTACTTTTTGGGCTACTTTTTACATACTGCTCTTTTAAATCACCTTTAAATCCTTTATTATACCACTCAAAGACGCTTCAGATATCATTATTTTTTCACTCCATTCATAGCGGTGATAAACTATTACTGTAGCCGCGGCTGCCCTGGGGCACACTGACAAAAGCAAGGCAACCAGTCTGTGCCATCAAACACCATCAGCCATTCACTTACACACATCAGGCTTATTATAATGTGAGATAAGTCATTTTGGCAGTTTACAGCCACAGCCACCCCACTGTGCTACCTGGTGTTTTCCAAGAAGTCTCCCATCACAGTCCTAACCAGGCCCTGCCCCGCACAGCTATAGAGGTCTGACGGGATCTGGCTTTCACCTGCAGGTTAGGACTTAGCTTGCAATATTCAGATTTGCAGAAAAACAAAAAACAAAACTCCCTTCCTCCAGTAATCTCCTAGTTGTACAAATCCTACAAATGATAAGATAAGATAAATAAGATAAACCTTTATTAGTCTCACAGTGGAGAAATTCCAGTGTCATCGTTGCACATTACAGCAGAGAAAGGAAATAAGAGCACTCAGATTGCACACATCAAAGTCTATTATTTAAGATAATAGACAATAAATTTAAGATAAAATAAAATAAGAAAATCTGGGCTACAATTGCACTTGGTTCGGAGTATTTACAGATGTCTATATTATACATTAGCAGCGGAGAATATGAGAATATGAGCAGAATAAACATCAGAAATAATATCAACAGGTAAAGTGACTTGAATGGGAGAATTATCAGATGGATATGAATAATACAGTAAGATATCAACAGACCCACGCCATCCACACGATTTTAACATAAACAACATTCTCTCGGAGCTGCTTCTTTAACCTTCACAACGTCGCAGAAATAGCGTGTCCATGATGCATGAAGCACTCAGAGGCCGTGACCTCCTGCTTCTCCTGCTTCTCCCGATAACCCCAGCCCTGGCGTGTTATCTGCCTCCGCGGCGCCGTCTGCGTTGGAGCCTGCGATACATCAGGGCGCTGCTCATCCACCCGCCCGTGCCCACACACCACCCCCTTCAGCTCCCTCTTCCTCCATCTTGCCTTGACACCCAAAGAACTGTGATGTTTTTTCCGTTTGGCGCCAGTATATTTCACAGATGGATATCGCCATAAGTCAGTCCGTCCTCCCGCTCACTCCATCAAACCCCGGAGTCCCGTGCGATCCGTCTTAGTCGCTCTTGATCTCTCTCTTCTTTCTCCCCTTGCGGCCGCCGTCAACACCCCCCCGACTTTGGTCCTATATGCAAATGAGTCACGAAAGCAAGACCTGGTGAAGGATTGAGAGATGAGACATTGAGAGATGTCTGGAAAGAGGCTCTTGATATCACACAGACACAGGCGTTTTGCAGAGGTCGTGTGGGTGCTAGTTATAGAGTTGCAGTGAACTAAACAGGTAGATATCAGAGTGAAAGATACAGTGCATGGACCAGGCCTGGCAAAGCTGAGGTCTGGGGGCCACATGCGGACCGATTCATGCGTCTATGTGGTCCCAACATCCTTCTCAGCTGTTTACCTCCCACTGTCCCTGCCTGACACAGAACAAAACACATACGTATAAATAATAATAATTACAACATTCATAAAGATAATGTTTCTCCTTTCATTGGTCAACAACAAAAGAACAAGAGTGATGTCATATCCATTGGCTGACATTGGGCTCAGTTGGTAGAGCATTGGCCTTAGAGCCTGAAGGTCGTGGGTTCGAGCCCACCATGAGACCTTCTTCACGACTCCCAATGATGACTGCTGTCGTTGTGTCCATGGGCAAGACACTTAACCCCACTTTGCCTGTAGCCCCTGCTGAAAGATCTCAGCTCCTGTGGACTCAGCACCTACAGGAGGATCAGTGAGAGGCTGGTGCTCTGTGAACTGGGTGCAGCTCTGACTGCCACCCCCCGACCCAGAAATGGATTAAGGGGAAGAAGATGGATGGATGGAGGGTTGATATTGACAATTTCCATATACTTACCGTATTTTCTGGACAATTCGCGCATTTTCTGCACCTGATTATAAACCTTAGAATATCATTTTTAGAAGCAAATACAATTATGCACTTGTTTAAGATACACCGGATTCTAAGCCACATCTGTCTCTTTCAGTGTCTATAGAAAGAACCAAAAATGTATTTATTATAATGTATTTACAATCTATTTTAACCTTACTCATAAACTTTATTAATTCTGCTTGATTAGCACATTTTTGCTCTGTGTACTACCCATCAATCAGGTTGGTCGACTGTTACTTGGCAACATGTAAAACCTTAAAGAAAAAGAACCCAGCCACACCCAAGTATAAGCCGCAGCCGTCAAAATGCAGAAAAAAAGCTGCGGCTTTTAGACTGGATTTTACGGTGCTATTAGTTGACACATTATTATATATTTTGGACACTTAAAGAAGCTATACCCGATTTATTTTCTACTGAGTTCATAAAAATGCTTATTACTACGTACACGTTGTTTTAAAATACGTAATCTAATGTAAAACTTGAGTTCATTGATTCAGTTGTGTATGAATTCAGGCGTAAAAAGTGCTGAGTAGAGACTTTAGCGTGACGCCCGCTCTCCTCCAATCACAGAACGAGGCTGCGTCCTTTAGCCTCTACGGCGCTGCTAAACACAGTAGCATATTAGCATGAGTGGCTATAACTCCTCCGGCTTCTCTGGCGGGTGAATATACGTAGCGTTGGCTTGCATGGTATCCTCTGGACAGACCAGCGGGGGGTTCGGGACCGCCTCGGACTATCTACGCTCGGACTACATTCGGACGCGAAACTAGCGGTAATCTGTAAGTTATACATTTTGTTAGCAGTGCGTTTCTTTTGTACCATTTCATCTGTGATTGTTGCGCTAATGCTAATGTTTGCATATGTATCAGATCGCAAATAAAACTAGATGGAAAACCTAGCAGAAACAGGTATAGCTCCTTTAATCTCAATGATAATCAAAAGGTCTGGTCCAAATTCCTATGTAAAAGCATTTATGTTACTAATAAAGGGAACAAACATCTCAGTCCCCTAAGTAAGTAATTTTTATCAATATAGCACCTTTCACAGACAAGACAAACAAAAGTAAAGCTTCCATGTGTATTTATAACACTAAACCAGTGACTTCTTTCCGGAAACTTGTGGAGTTACCATTTGGAATATCAACTTCTGCGTTTGTAAAGTTGTATCTTGGGACATGACACTACTTTTATGTGTAAAAGCTGTCGTCTAAATGTCACTTTTGGCTTCGAGTTCGACACCGCTGCTGCAGACTTTTATCTGAATGAAATGCAGAGAAGGAGAAAGCAATTTTCTCGGCGAAGCAACACAACTCAGAAAAGAAGCGGGTTTATTTTTTTTATTTTTTTGCGAGTGGATGAGATTGCGATTGCTGTACATACACACACTCTCACACACACACACACACACACACACACACACACACACACACACGTAAGCTGTTAGCATTCTGTGTTAGCTTCGGCGGCGTCCTCATATGAGCCCCTCGAGTGTTCAGGAAATGTACAAACGTTGTGATGCTAAAGTACGGTATCAAAAAATGAAATCAATCTAAAACGCAAGACTGCAAAAATAAGTATTTAATCACAGCCAATAAGATAAGACAGACTTTAAAAATTACAGCAGAAAAAAATTAATAAATAGGAGCTTTCAGAGTAAGCAGATAAGATAATAATAATTTGATAAACTTAAACTCTTGATCTATAATTGCACTTGGTTCAAGGATAGTACACTGTGGACAGCAGGAGGTATTTACAGATGTTTCTATTGCGCTTTAGCAGCAGAGAGTATGACCAAAATAGAAAAATAGTAACAGTAGCAGCAGGTGAAGTGACTAGTGGATTATCAGATGCAAAGTTCAGTACAAAAATCCAAAACGATACCAAACTTGGGACAAAGACAAGAAACTGGGAGACGTGGAGTTGACAAAGTGAAGGAATACCCAGGGTTAAAAAACACAAGACTGACGAGACACCGGCGATTCAAAATTAGGTATGACATGGCACTATTCACACATGATGAAGCTGAAGTTGCCTGGATGATACATTAAACTTGTGTGTATCTCCAAGGCAACTTAATAATAATAATAATAATAATGCGTTGGTTTTATATAGCGCTTTTTTGAACACTAAAAAAAAGCTTCACATGTGATTATTCATTCACTCCATACACGGTGGTGATAAACTACCACTGTAGCCACAGCTGCCCTGGGGCACACTGACAGAAGCGAGACAACCAGTATGCGCCATCGGCCCCTCCGACCACCACCAACCATTCACACACACACCAGACTCATGCTAGGCAATGGGGGTGAAGAGTCTTGCCTAAGGACACCACGGCAGTTTGGCACTTTACACTGTGGCACCTGGTGTTCCCAGAGGTTAAGTGTCTTGCCCAAGGACACAACGACTGCAGAGGGAGTGGAGGACCCGAACCCAAGATTTTCAAGGCCAATGCTCTACAAACTGAGCCACTGTCGCCCTCAAACTCGGGGCTATAGGATTTCTTTGCCATGCTTTCATTAAGATTAATAGATAGATGATAGATAGATACAAACATCATTGTAAAAGTTAGCGGTTAGCTAGCAGAAGTTAGCTAGCAGTCGACATCAAAAGATCCAAGTTTGAGTGTTTAGTAAAGAGCTCACACTAATACATTTACAAGAGGAGTTCAACAATGAGGTTCACTTTCTCCGGTTCACTTTCTCCGGTTCACTTCAGGCAAACAGTCCCTCCCAAAGTCAGTTGTTGACTCTGGCTCCTCTCATAACCTCTGCAGTGTGTTTGGGGCCCCTGCAGACCCCACAAACAGACTGGAGGCTAATTGACAGACACAGATGGGCCGTGGAGAGCTTCTTTATCTTTCCTCTGTGATTTTTTCCGTTATCTTTTTTGAGTTTGTGTTTTTTTCCTCTCGGCGAGCTGGCGTGTCTCCGTGAAGGACAAAGCCGTGCAGAAATCCCCCTGCAGCTTCTTCCAGTCCATCAGGCCAAATAAAGTGTTCGCCGGTGGGAGTGGGAGGCTCCCCCAGAGCAACAAGTTCACACCTGTTCCCCAAAGAAGAGAGAGAGCTTACGCAAAAGCTCTGGCCCAATATAAAGCCGATTTTTCTCTTTTTTATTTTGCAGTCAAACGGGACATCAGGCTGGATCCAAAGAGCTAAGAGTTTGGATTAACTGTGTGAAGGAGAGGTTCAGCAGGTCTTTCCTTCCTGCTGCTGTCAGATTGTACAACGAACAATGAGGGCTAACAGACACTGCCGACCTGACCCCACATGTTGTGCATCTGTGCAATAATTTACATCTGTGTTTCAAACATACAACTATAAATTGCTGATTGCTAACAAAGCATTTTGTTTGTATGGATGCATGTGTTTCTGCTGCTGCTGGACACCTGAATGTCTCCTACAGGCTTCAATAAAATATCTATCTTTACCATTAAACTGTTAAGTATCAAACCAATTTAGATTTTTATCTCACATTTATAATAATAGTAATAATAATGCATCGGTTTTATATAGCGCTTTTTGGACGGTCAAAGACATGTCATTATTCATTCACCTGATTGCTAACTAATCAGTGATCAACTACGACTGTAGCCACAGCTGCCCTGGGGCACACTGACAGAAGCGAGGCAACCAGTCTGTGCCATGGGCCCCTCCCATCACCACCAACCACTCACACACACACCAGACTCATTCTAGGCAATGGGAGTAAGTGTCTTGCTTGAACCCACAACCTTCAGGCTCAAAGGCCAATGCTCGACCAACTGAGCCACCCAAATTTATATTTCTTAATCTACTGTTTGTGAAACTAGAAAATAGCATTTAAATTGTTATTGTTCGGATGCATTGACTTTAACATTTAGTGTAATGCAAATATATATACATTAAATACATCTCTGGATACTTTTGCCATTGTTTTTCTAACTATGTACGTACTGTATTTACAGTACAGACCAAAAGTTGTGACACCTTTCTTTCCATGACTATTGACTGTAGACCCGCACCAGGCTGTGAAAGGGCTGTTCGACCAATAAGGAGAGAGATGGTGCTGGGCCACATGACCTCCACAGTCACCAGACCTGAGCCCAGTCCAGATGGTTTTGGACCTGAACCCAGTCCAGATGGTTTTGGACCTGAACCCAGTCCAGATGGTTTTGTACCTGGACCCAGTCCAGATGGTTTCGGAGCTGGACCACAGAGTGAAGGGGCCAACAAGTGCTAAGCATCATGGGAACTCCTTCCAGACTGTTGAAGACCATTTCAGGTCCTGTTGAAGCTCATCCAGAGAATGCCAAGAGTGAAGCAGTATCAGAGAAAAAGGTGCTACTTTAAAGAACCAGAATATGAGACATTTTCTGCTTTTTTTGTTTTTTTTAGTACGTTCACAATTCCACATGAGTTAATTTATAGTTTTGATGCCTTCAGTGTGAATCTACAATTTTCATAATCATGAAAATAGAAAACTGTTTGAATGAGAAGGTTTGTCTAAAAGGTTGGTCTGTTCTGTGTCACAAAACAAAACGTATAATGTAAAATATAGTACAAAGTTCCATAATTTGTGTAAAATATCCAAATAAACAACATTGTATTTGTCATTTATTCATTATTAAACCAGGAAAGTCCAATTTCAGACCAAGAACTTTGCTTTCAATGGAGTCCTGGGTGATAAGTGTTTTTTTTAAGCCATTCTAACCACGGTTAAATATGGCTGTTAAAGTGTAATCGAGCTGTGGATCCACTTTTTCTCTGCCGCTCATTAGAAACGTGTTGTATGCAAACAATAAGGAGTTTCTATTTGCGGCCTGACAACATCCTCGTCTCCAGCTGTGATCTGCCTAAAAGACGCTTGACTGTGATCATCAACAACACCCTTTACGCTGCTTTTTCTTGAAACCTTGAACATATTGGTCCAGGAATGTGCGAAGGACACAGGTGAGACACGCCGAGAGTGGAGCAGTCATCAAGGTCTGGAATTAAAAAGTTTATTTTTTACCCTTTTTTAGTCTTTATTTATCCACTTGGTTCAGGACCGTGAATCCGTGAATGTGTTTTTTTCTGTTCTGTCTGGAAAAACCCGGAAATATTCTGTAGGTGCAAGTGTGTGAGATCATTTTTTTCTCCGACAACGCTACTTTCCGTTTGTAGTCACTGACAAAGCATTCATGAAAACACACATATTGAAATACAGGTCTATAAAAACAAAAGATCGCTCAAGCTTCCTGGTCTCCGGTCGAGAACCTGAGCTTCGAGAGTGAATCATAAACGTATCTATAAAGTTCTGCTCCTCAAGGTCAGTGGGTTTACATCATGAAAAGCTGGGATTGAGCGCTGCAACATTGGGCTGCTGTAATGGTATAATTAGTCCGCAGTAATGTCGGTTATTTCTTCAGTTCTGTAACAAGCTGAGCCCAAACGGCTTTAGAGCATCGATCGGGAGCATTTAAAGGGGAACGTGCTATTGCGGCGTACAGTTGATTGCAACAGTGGACAAAGTACATGGTTACTCTATATTCATACTGCATTTTACAGATTGAAAAGCATCAGTGACGGAGGCTAACGACGGACATTACCTTTTGCATTAAATGAAGCTTTTGGAGTCTTTCCTGAATGTTTCTAAAGCACAAAGACAGACAGTCATGTAGGTTTCTTTCTGAAACAAAACATGATAAAATGATGGGAACTTTTGTGACTCTCAAGGACAAAGTAACCCCAGAAAGTCCCACTGAGACCTCAGAGCGGAGGTCAGGGACGTTCTAGTCCCACAGAGATTGGGGTTGGGGAGGGGGTTATGGGGACTATATGTTTTTTAGTGGTAAACTGGAGCAGACACAGGGAGAAAATGCAAGCTCCACAAAGGGCAGAATGTGGGATCGAACCCAGGACCCAGAACCAACTCTGACTCTGAGGAGCACAGGAACTGGCCTACTGCTGGTGACTCTGAGGAGCACAGGGACTGGCCTCCTGCTGGTGACTCTGAGGAGCACAGGGACTGGCCCCCTGCTGGTGACTCTGAGGAGCACAGGGACTGGCCCCCTGCTGGTGACTCTGAGGAGCACAGGGACTGGCCCCCTGCTGGTGACTCTGAGGAGCACAGGGACTGGCCTCCTGCTGGTGACTCTGAGGAGCACAGG